ATATATATATATATATATATATATATATATATATTAGCTGATTTCCTTTTTACCCCGTTTTATTGCAAAAACAGTTGAAGATATTAATACAAAACAATTGTATTAATATTTGTTTACGATACAGAATATGAATTTACATGAAACAAGAAAAGATGCAAGAGAGAGAAAGAAAAAAAGACAAAGAACATGAAATAAACTTGAGGGTTAGATATTTAAGAATCAATTACAGTATATAAATTGAAGTGAAATGAATAAATTTTATAAAATAGTTTGCTTTCTTATTTTCAGATACTGAAATTAAATGTAAATAATGACTAAATAATTGCAAAAAAAAACATGAAAATATGGTTTGGTATTAGTAAATTTGGATTTGTGGATATGGAATTTACAAAGAAAGAAAATAAATTTACAAACAAAAAACAAGCATTTCTTTCAGCAGAGGCAGATTCATAGTAACCTAAAATAATTTCTTTAAAAGTAACAGAAACTTCTTGTTGTATATTATCATTAATAAATGAGCCAATATGTTTTCAAAATTCTATAGCATAATTACAATCCCAAAATTACTTGGAAAAACAGTTTCAGTATGAAATTGACAAAATGAAAATTTTACATCAATATTAGAATTACTTTATTAATAATTATTCAATAGGATAAAAATGGTTGATTAATTTAAAAGACGCTTCTTTGACCTTGTTTGTGAGGAAAAATTTTAGTTGCAAAGACCATATTTCCCATTTCAAATCTCTATATACAGCTGAAGTCAGAATCATTAGTCCCCCTGTTTATTTTCTCCAATTCCTGTTTAACGAAAAGATTTATTTTCAACACATTTCTAATCATGATAGTTTTAATAACTCATTTCTAATAACTGATTTATTGATTTGTGCCAAGATGACAGTAAATAATATTTGACTAAATATTTTTCAAGACACTTCTATACAGCTTAAAGTGACATTTAAAGGCTTAACTAGGTTAATTAAGGTAACTAGGCAGGTTAGGGCAATTAGGCAAGTTATTGTATAATGATGGTTTGTTCTGTAGACTATCGAAAAACAAATTAGCCTAAAGGGGCTAATAATATTGATCTTAAAATGTTTTTTAAAAAATTAAAAACTGCTTTTATTCTAGCCGAAATAAAGCAAATAAGACTTTCTCCAGAAGAAAAAATATTATCAGACATACTGTGAACATTTCCTTGCTCTGTTAAACATAATTTGGGAAATATAAAAAAAAAAATGAATTAAAAGGGGGGCTAATAATTTTGACTTCAACTGTACATTATTCCAATAATTAATTACAGGGGACAATGTAACAACCTTTACAATAAAAAGAGATCTAATTTTGTAATTTCTATCTTTTTATTAGAAAAACAAATTTTACCTATAAACGTCTCTGTCGGTGCAGAAAAATGAACTCTTTTAGGATGATCGCTGTTTTTAAAGAGCACAGTAATTCCTGATATTATAGCTCCCACATAACATTGCCAACAATTTTTTTTTACTTATTGGTAAGTTATATTCTGAGATAAACTCAAAGTAATCCATTAATCAACCTCTGTTGTTAAATAAATGACTAACTAAAAGCAAACCGATATTAAACCATTGACTGAAAAACAGATTTATTTTCATATGAAATATTTTAGTTATTCCAAAAAAAAAAAAAAAAAAATGTGAGGAGTAAAATTGTGTTTATAAATTAAAGCCCAGGACAAAAGTGCTTGTTGATGGAAATTAGAAAGTTTAACAAGGAATTTTGGTTATGTTATAATTGCACATCAATAAAAATATAATGCCTCCAACAAAACAAAATACAGACCGAGTATATAAAAGTAGCGTGGTAAACAATGTGTGATGTCAAAAGTGATCACTTTGCTAATAAAATGAATGAATGTGTGAATATAAAACCAACTTTCCCTCAATTTTTGGTATATATTGTGTTCTGTGTTGCATATGTTGTGTTTTTTGCAAGGCTAAGTGTGAATATGTTCTCATTCGAATATGCGTTGATGTATATCACATGTACATTTTAGGTTACATCAGATATTTGGTGTTTTTTTTGTCATTATTAATGTGTAAACCTGTTTTCTTTTGAAGGATGACATTGATAAAGCTCCCGAAGAGACGAGGCGTAAGTTTGTGTTGTTAAATTTGTTCATGTTTGACTGTGATGCATTGTTTGTTTGCTTCTGTCACTGACCTTTATGTGTTTATTGAGGTAAAGTTGCTTTTATATTTGAACATTCAGGCTTTCTTCTTAATAATATAATTTAAAAAATGTTTTTTTGCAAATGCTAAATATGGAAATCATATTAGCAGCCAATAGCTATCAGAGTACAACATTGTAAATAGTGCAAATGTTGTTTTGAAGTCATACTTGCATGCGATTTCAGACCGCATATTCAAAGTACAATATAGTTGTCATTGTTCAAACATGTACTAATGTGCGAATACGAACTGGCTTCAACTCAATTATGTGTTTGTGTTTGCAGAACTTTATAAAGAGTATCGCTCTCTTAAAGTAGCGAAAGAAAGAAATGACGCTGTGAAGGAGAGTCAAACCAAACCCCCAGAGAGTCAGTCATCTACAGATGTGAGTCGACAAATATTCATCAGATGACTTCATAGCTTTTGAGTATTGCAGTTTGTTTACATGCACTGTTTTCAGGGATCTGGATGCTGGGGATCTCACCTCAACCGGAAAAATCTACCCGTTGCTCTACCAAAACTGTCATCAGATGATAAGGAGACTCTCAAAGCTTCAGCTCAGTACTTTGGCATGAAGCTAAAGAATAATCTCGGAGGCTTAACAAAGGTAAATATGAGCCTTTTTTGTGCCCACTTTATATTAAGTGTCCTTAACTACTATGTACTTACATAAAAAAATAAATAAATACAATGTACTTACTGTGTTTATAATGTATTTGAGAACACGTGGTGCTCTTGAGTTGGGATAGGGGTTGGGTTTTGGACAGGTTTGGTGGTGTGAGTAGGTTTAAGGGTGGGTTAAGGTGTAAGGGATGGTCAACAGTGTATTT